CACAAAAAGAATGTGTGTTCTGGCAGCAAATCAGCAAACATTAGCTTATTTTAAAATTAGAAAGCATACAGGTTTTAAAGATGTAGTGTAACTATAATTAGCACCAACTTTCTTCCCAACAGGAGTGTCTTTACATAAATTTTGGAGTATCAACAGATAAAAAGACATCAGAGATGATGAAACATAAGTTATGAGCAACAGAAGATTACCCCACCGTTAATGTATCTACACATCTGCTACGAAGCCCACTGGTATCAAAGATGAGATTTTAACATTCGGTGATACTACGCCGAATCCACATATAAGGGAAAGCACATACAGAAATACCCAGGTCAAGAGAGAAACATTAGAAGTTATAATCATATTTATTTTAAAAAGTGATATCAAATACAACCATATATATTCGTGCCTATTTGGAGACCATTTTCAAAATGTCAAACAGCACTGCCATTTTCCATTGAAAACAAAGCATTTCAGCTTCATTTCACCTTTCCTATTTTTTTTAATCTTGTCAGTATTATATACTTTATTATACGCACAAAATAGAGACAAAAATTGTACAGGAATTCAGAGTCAAAGACATGATACTGAAAGCAGAGTCTCGAGATGAAAAATCTATTACTGAAAATGATTTCTAAAATACACAACTATTAGGCAAGAGATGAAAAAAATTATTCCCTTACAAAATCCTAACTCTGCACTGTTTTGTACATATGGAGTTTCATGTAGCAAATGCATGCTTTAAAGACAGTATCAAGGTTTTCCTCTTTTTTTTTTTCCACAGTAGCATTTAAATATTGCCTCCCTTTCTATTCAAACCTTTTTACAAGTTTCCTCTCCTGAATTCACAAAGTGGCTATCCAGTGGGTGGGATTCTTTAAAAAAAAAAAAAATCCAAGTGTAGTAATCATTATTTGCTTTTCTCAACACAGAAAATAAAGTAAATACATTTTGATTTGGTAAAAGCAGTTGACACATGTACTTTAACATTCTGAAGAACTGTACTTGGGGAAGGTGGTGACTACAGCAGGTTAAGTACTAAAGCGTTCCCTCCATGTCTGAAACACAAATAAGGCAAAATGTGTGTATATGCGGGTTAGAAAAGTTTATTGCAAAACAGCTCATGCTTTTAAGATGCAAACCTGGATACAACACAAACAAGCTACTCATTTGAAACTACAGAACTGAATATTTCGACTGGGCCAGTTCAAATGTATTAATATGTATTGTTGTTGCTTTAAAAACTGGTTATGTTTATGTAGGGAATGGAAATATGTGTACCTGTTAGACTTCTTTTCCTTTTTTTTTTTTCTCCTTTTAATTTCTGAGTAACTCTGAAGATTTCCCAGGAGTTGTTTGTTCTAAGCAAGACAGTGATGGCTTACCAAGTGAGCAACATAATTTTATATCTAAGCCCTTAAAAAAAGTTTCCACTTAAAATTTTTCTGTTCCTTGTATTCTTTTTTCCGACAGATTTAAAAGTATGTGATTGTAACATGAATGATACTTCTATGTAACTCCGAGTTCTAGAGTTCTCCAATCCCATTCCTCCTAGTATTTCTCAGTAAAAAGGCCACCATGTGTACATTTTCAACAACTGTTTGAAAGAATAACTAAATTCTAGAAAAATTCACAGAAGTTTCAGAACTGTAACACATTCATTTTTAAAAGCCTAATTGTCAGTTTTGTAATAAAGCAGCTTGCAAATGACAATATGTGTCTGAGATACAGGAACAGAACTGCTTACTAGACACATGCAGAAGCTATTTTAAACTCCCCACCATTTTATAGATTTGTAATAGAAACAATAGTCCAACATTAAAACACATTGGAGATTTAACTTTGTATTGGTTATTTTTAAGTAGTCTGCAAAGTAATTAAGTATAAAAAATAGTAAGAGTATATTAGCTGAAAATTACATTTAAACTTGCTGAAGTTGTTTGAAGGTCACAAGGAGCCCAAATGTTGGGAGAGTAAGCCAGTAAGCTAATTGTATCAGATTAGTTTCAAACCCAGAAATACATGAGCATTTAAATAGCTCGTGTTTATACCTGCTGTGCCTAACAGGAATTGCATTCAAGCATGACTGCATTACTATACTTCCTCCTCCTGCTCTCGTTACAAGACCATGAGAATAGTTAATAAAATTATACTTACAGAACTAATTTTGGAAGATATTTAATGTAACTATCACTCCCTCCCTCTTCCCCTTTGATTTCTATAGGCAGAAAAAACACAAATTACATGACACAGACCATTCACTGTGAGGAAGACTGTAAAAATCTGTTGGATGAATGAAGTCTGAAATTCCCTCAAATATCATACTGTAATAATAAAAAAATAATAATCAATTTCTGCTCCTTTACAATGGACTTTGACCTAAAGCTACAACATGGGAAAAAACCTTCCGCTTGACATAACAGGTAACACTAGGAATAGGCTCTAAATTAGTAAACGCCGTATGAGCACAGTTTAGCCACACTGAGAACTGTTTATCACTGAAAGAAGGAACACCAAAAAAATGAGACTGGCTTTTTATTGACCATTTCTTGGCAGGTCCACACATTTTCAACTTGAGGTCTGGGTTATAAAGTACGTACTGTCAGCAATTAGTACTAGCCTTTTCCTTTGGTGCAATTAAATTGCTACTGCTTTACTGCTTGACTAGGCAGATACACCTACCTCATCAACCTTGACAATCCTCTGAAAATCAAATTGGTATTGTAGAGTGACAATGTTTTTACACAAAGGAACGCAGTTAGCCCTTTAATGACTGACACGGTGGTGCTTTTCAGGCACTGTTACTTTATATCCCTTACATATTAAAACACTTGGGTGATGAAGTAACTTACAAGGCGACATGAAAGTTCAAATGCAAACCTCCATGCTTTAGTCATAAAAATTATGACTAATTATGTCACAGGTTACAGTTAATGCAATTCAAGGGGCTTAGATTTTATTCTTTTTTAATATAGGGCTGCTATACTATATAGCTATAGAAATAATATCTTTTTATTATATTCTTATAATAGAGGATAAAAGGTCCACATTCCAAGTACTATTACCAAATGGTCAGCCTATACTTATTTATAAAAAGGAGAGTCTTATTTCAGAATCAGTTTATGGCACAATGAAAGAAGGAAAATTAAAGCTGTGGATAACTTACAGACAAGCAAAGAAGTAATTCAGTGCTTTACAGATTCCTGTTTTCAGTTTCATGTAAATTTTAAACTGAAAGCAGAAATTTACATCCTGAAAAATAACAGCATTTCAAAATGGCATATGCACACATGGACTTTTAAAGCCATTTTTTAGCTGTGTTAATTTGAGACATTACAGATACTAATTATAATGTGCATGACAGGATTATTTAAAAAAGACAAAATTTTAAATCAGTTTTTAAAAAGTAATTGCTGTCTCCTGTCAAAATCCATATTGTCTTATACACACCACGGACATTGGTGGAAATTCAACACACAGGTAAGGAAAACAAAATTTAGCCCTAATATGTCTAATATAATAATATCCTAAACTGTCAAGAAACCACTGCTGTAAACAAATCTTTATTGAAAGGTAAGAGCCCTTTCATGTACAGTACTACTTGATGCTGAATGTGTATTTCCATCTAGCTACCACTCATTTCATACTAATTTTAGTTAAATATTAGTATTGTGCAATGATATAACTTTAGAATATTTTGATAAAGAAACGTGGGGTTATCTTTAAAAGATTCTTAGAATGCCTGTGCTAACTGTTAATGAGTTAAGTGGACTACAGCTTACATACTTTATCTACAACATATTTCCATATAATTTATATGTAAACAGAATTTGTATTTCAAGCACCATTTAGGAAAGTGAAATGTATCTCAGTTGTAGCACTCAAGTTGAAAGTTAGGTTTGGTCACCGTGTTACACATTCATCCTGGATATCAAAGCAAATTCCTACAGCCAATAGAATAAGCTCCTTCACATACTTTGCTCCCCAATTTTTCTCAGGATCAGAAATAGCATGATAAAAAATTTTAAGGTGCGTGAATAAAGGCCATTCCTGAAAAAGCTGCAACATTCTGACAGACACTCATGAAAAGCATTTCAGAAAGAACATCCACACAGACATAAATATCCATTCTTCGAAAAGCTACTTGCACAGGGGTCATTTCAGACTGCAGGAA